CTAATACAACAAAAGACTCATTAATTTGGATGAAAATGAGGATTATGAATTTGGGAAACAAGAGATTAAAAGGTAGAGAGACAGAAGAAAAAAGGGTTTATAGATAGATTATTGATTGGGAAAACATACATAATGAAATAATTCTGGATTATGAAAAAGATAAAGTGAAAGGGTTATTGGATTAGGGAGAGAGACATATAAAGATAAATTGTTCAATGGGTAGTTTCTGATAAAAAAAAAAAAAAAAAAAAAAAAAAAAAAAAAAATATATATATATATATATATATATATATATATATATATATATATATATATATATATATATATATATATATAGTACCAAAATATTAAAAAGTAGGTCTATTCTTTGGGATAATGATGTGAAGAAGACTTATTCTATAGGGAAATGGCAGAGATATACAGAAAGGCTTATTCATTGAGGAACATATATAAGGAAGATTTATTTACTCAAGAATAGTCACAACTTATTAAATGTATGAATTAATCAGCAACTATTCTTGAGCAGTAAATGTGCTAAATTTACATTATGAAATAAATAATTAACAACTGTTAAAAAAATCAATACCATATGTGTATCTGTGTGTGTGTGTGTGTGTGTGTGTGTGTGTGTGTGTGTGTGTGTGTGTGTGTGTGTGTGTGTGTGTGTGTGTGTGTGTGTGTGTGTGTGTGTGTGTGTGTGTGTGTCTGTGTATTGACGAATGCTACTTGCATGTAGATGATTATATCCACAGAACTATAAAAGTAAATGCCAAGCATATTTCATGCTAAACATTCCCATATATTTGCACACACACACACACACGCGCGCGCGCACATGTGATATATGTGTGTGTGTGTGTGTGTGTGTGTGTGTGTGTGTGTGTGTGTGTGTGTGTGTGTGTGTGTGTGTGTGTGTGTGTGTGTGTGTGTGTGTGTGTGTGTGTGTATGTACGTATTTATGTGTGTGTGTGTTTCATATTTGTATTATACTGGCATATATAAGAAGTTAATATTAAAGTCAAAATCCGAGTTCAGGATGCTAATCTCTGTATAACATCTCTCCTTAAGCCTAAAAACATTCGAATCAAAACGTAAATATAATAAGAAAAAAAGGAAAAGCGAATGATTAACACGTATTACAAATACAACCGAAACAAGAACACTTAAAGCAAGAAGAGATACTCATGCATCATACTTTGCACATGCCAATAAAAGCTAGGAAATTCACAAGATGCAGAGGATGCAACATGGGTCAAGCAACTACAACCACCATTTCAGTATAAAGAAAAACAACCATTTCGAATCACCCGCCACAAACAGTGAAACAACCTACATAAAGAACGAATTTAATATGAACAGGAGCTTCGTGTTCATATGAAATTGCACGTAATAAAACGAGGCACCTCGCCCAACTATCAAATGAATAGTAATAAGAATAAAATAATAATAATAGTAATAAAAATAAAATTGAACGTAATAAAACGAGGCACCTCGCCCAACTATCAAATGAATAGCATGAACGTAATAAAATGAGCCACCTCTCCCAACTTTCAAATGCAGTAATAAGAATAACCAACTTTCAAATGAATAGTAATAAGAATAAAATAATAATAATAGTAATAAAAATAAAATAGTAATAAAATGAGCCACCTAGCCCAACTTTCAAATGAATAGTAATAAGAATAAAATAATAATAATAGTAATAAAAATAAAATAGTAATATGAGCCACCTCGCCCACTTCTCCGCCTCCTACCTGCCATTCCTCCACAGAACACGAGAGAGCCTGGACTGGCACTCTCCTCTGAGCCACACAGAGTCCTGATGAAGCCCTCATACAGAATCATATACATGCCAAACGAGGGAATATCTCTGGAGGTGAATCAGAACTTCTTTATGATAGGTCCGAGTGGATGCCGTATTTGTCAGTAAATAAATTGGTGCATTGATCTATTTCAGCATCACGTCTAGTGGATGATTAATAATTTGAAAGGTATTTCCAACATTAAATATATTTATCGTCATTCTAGGAAAAGGTATTGGGTACATGAAACATATTTATCATCGTTCTAGGAAATATATTTATCACCATTCAAAGAAATATATTCAACCATCATTCAAGGAAATATATAAATCATAATTATTCAAATTAGATACCTAATCTGAAAGTTCTACCTAATCAGTTAATCACATTGCCATTGAAGACAGACACACACTATGGAGACATACTGAAAACTTGCATATTGTCTCAGTATTTGATACACCCTTATTAATGAAATCATGAGCGATGACAATTTGTTCTTAGTATCATTGTGATAAGTCAAAGCCAGGCAGAAATCCTTTTCTATCTTAAACCACAATCAAACCTTACACAGCTATATAGATAGATAGATAGATAGACAGACAGACAGATAGATAGATAGATAGATAGATAGATAGATAGATAGATAGATAGATAGATAGATAGATAGATAGATAGATAGATAGATAAATAAATAGATAAATAGATAAATAGATAAATAGATAGATAGATAGAAACATACATACCTATATATATATATATATATATATATATATATATAATATTAATATAATATATATATATATATATATATATATATATATATATAATATATATATTATATATATATAATATATATATATATATATATATATATATATATATATATATATATATATATATATATATAATATATATATATATATATATATATATATATATATATATATATATTATATATATGTGTGTGTGTGTGTGTGTGTGTGTGTGTGTGTGTGTGTGTGTGTGTGTGTGTGTGTGTGTGTGTGTGTGTGTGTGTGTGTGTGTGTGTGTGTGTGTGTGTGTGTGTGTGTGTGTGTGTGTGTGTGTGTGTGTGTGTGTGTGTGTATGTATGTATGCATGTATTTGTTTATATAGATAGATAGATAGATAGATAGATAGATAGATAGATAGATAAATAGATAGATGTAGATATATATAGATGTAGACAGAGATAGAGATAGAGATAGAAAGATATGTTCAGATAGGCATTTACACATTCAGAATATATCGTCAGTAAAAGTCATATCGTGCGAGCAGAGAAAATATTTTAAGAGATTAAGGCTTTTTGGTGTTGCTTTTGGAAAATGTGTTACACTTAGCCATAAACAAAAAAGGAATAAGACACAAGAAATACACAGACAAAGAAACATGTATCCCAATAATCCCAATGGATCTTTAAAAATACAGACTGAAATAAATAAATAAATAAAGTTAATAATGAAATAAAGTTAATAGATATCATAAAGATCTTCAATCTGTACGCTACACCTTCGCAAAAAATGGGATATTGTAATACATAAAGAAATAAAACAAATATTTAGCTATTAAACAGTAGAAGAAAAAAAAATAATAATACACAGGACTAAGAGAACACAGAACAAGGATAGTTAATAACTCACACATACTAAAAGAAAAAAGAAAAGACACACACACAAACAAAAAATAATAATAATAATAAATAAAAATAATTTACCGTATTGCCATTGAATTTAACCCCGTATAACACGCCCTTATACCTCCTCTGCGGTATAAATCGAGCAGACAAGACGTGGGGCCTCTATAGTGGGACTCGAAGTGCTTGCCCCAGATGCCCTCACCTGACCCTGTGGAGGAGGAGAGGGAGGGTCATGTATAGCGATGACCTTAGGTTTAGAATTGCGAAAAATGGAGTAATATACTTTAATGGCTAGAGTACGACTCCTTAAAATCATTATCTATTGAGATATGGGGGTTGGCGTGCAATAATGGCCTTATAACTACGATTTCATAAAAGCTCCATCCTATATTAATGATTCCTTTGGGAGCATAAACTCAGTTGCAAAAAGAAAGTAAAAAGTGACAAAATACTTCATTTAACTAATCCCAAAGTCCTTTCTTTGACTGAAATCATAACTCTCATAGTAATAACTAATCTCAAAATAATTTCTTTGGCTGAAATCAAAACTCTCATGATAAAGCAGATTGATCGAAATCAAAACTCTCGTAATAATGTAGAATCAAATACCTGTCTGCATCTGCATCTTAATCTTAATTAGATCCACCGGACATGCAACAACCAGCTGTGCAACTCCGCCCGCACATCCGGCTAAGAATATATCGGTGAAAGACGGTCTATCTCGCCCTTCCGATAGGATTCTGACGGTGTTTCCGTATACGCCGAAGAAGAGAGCGTTTAAGGTTCCTGTCGACAAAAGGGGGAATCCCATGCCTTTGTAAAAACCACGAACCTGGAAGGAATAGGAGGTTGTCTGTCAGTTTTGTGGAATTGTATTCACGCCAAAGTTTACGTTTTAGGTTTATTATATCAGTGTATAAGCTTTTTAATACTTAATTATAATAACTTTGTCATTTCGAGAGAGAGAGAGAGAGAGAGAGAGAGAGAGAGAGAGAGAGAGAGAGAGAGAGAGAGAGAGAGAGAGAGAGAGAGAGAGAGGGAGAGGAGAGAAGGAGAGAGAGAGGAGGGAGAGGGAGAGAGAGAGAGAGAGAGAGAGAGAGAGAGAGAGAGAGAGAGAGAGAGAGAGAGAGAGAGAGAGAGAGAGAGAGAGAGAGAGAGAGAGAGAGAGAGAGAGAGAGAGAGAGAGAGAGAGAGAGAGAGAGAGAGAGAGAGAGAGAGAATGAGGGAGAGGCAGAGAGAGAGGGGGAGAGAGGAAGAGGGAAAGTGGGAAAGAGAGAAAGAGAGAGAGAGATTGAGAGAGAAAGAGACAGATAGACTGAGATATCTATAAATGAGCCTTGTGACAACACACCCCATTAATCTCAGACCCTCACATGGCTCAACATTCAACATTCCCATCGAAGGAATATGATATCCCAGTGTGACAAGTCAATGGCACGGGAAAAGTCTGACTTGACCTGGTGCCCTTAGAGGAACTGGGACTTCAATAGACACTTTGGCTTTAAAGGTCAACCCTAAGTGTTATACCCTGCCTAAAACAGTCC